AAAATTCATTTTATATCATCCCAGTCTCAACAACCGGGTGGCAGAGCTCATCGTGGCGGCACATAGCTGGTAGATGTAACACAGAAACATCAAATCTCGTCGCTAACATAGAAACAAAAGCTATAAATGTCTGAGCAAAGTGAGAGTTCATCTATTAAATTGACTGAAGATGAATACATAAACCAAAAGCTGGAGTATAGAAATTTTTTATAAGTGTATTTGTAAGCCTGCCTCTTTATTATTGAATTCAATATAATTTCAGATTTTTGTAACTGTTCTTCAGGTTAAATTGGAAAGTGAGCTTCTATTGTTACAGGTTAATTTTCTAAACTACAGAAAAAATATTGTTAGGGACGCTCTAATGTGAAAAATTGGACTGATGTTTATATTTGATAGTAATACTGCTGCTATGTTAGATTTACCAATGTTTTTTTATCTGATTACTCGATCGATCTTAAGAATAACCAATAGATTACTCGATTACTAAAATATTTGTTTACAACAGCCCTATTCCTTGATAATGGTGCTGTTTCTTTATTATACAAATCGGTCATGCTGAAATGAAATGAAACATCACCAATTAATGCAGGCAAATTTATTTGTATAGCACATTTCAGCAACAAGACAAGGGCTTCACATAAAACATCAAGCAAATAAACCTTTTACAGTGACATAATAAAGGAAGGCAATAAAAAACTGTGAAAGTTCCAGTCATCAATCAAATGCAATGTCCATGTTTGAAGCAGTATCAGTATTTATAATAATAATAATTATATATTTTATTTCAAAAGTTTTTTCAGGGCACAAAATGTCACCTCACAAAAATAAAAATAATAAATTTTAAAGAAAAAAATCCAAATTAAAAAATAAGGAGATTGTGCAAACGCACTGCTGTTCAGCTGGGATTTAAACAGACAACGTGTCAGAGTCCTTTGAGTGGGGAATGTGAACATTTATTCTAAATAGTAGAAAGCTTTATGTCCATAAGGCTCATTCACAAAGGATGACTCAGTCACTGAAGGATGACTGCAGTTGGACCAGTACCGGTACTGCATGGCTCCTTCTTTCAGTCATGCTTAGAGGTCCAGGATTATCAGTCTGGATTAATCTAAGCGCTCATAAACAATCATCAACATTTCCCGGCAGATCAATATGATCTCTGATCAATCGCTCCCTCGGAACCTTTCCATCGGCGATGTTCTCCATCAGAGCCATAGCGTTCCACAATTATGAGGCTCACCTTTCCTCAGCTTCTTGAATACGCATGATTGTCTACACACCTTGATCAGCTTAAAAATAATTGAACCTGACCTGTTTGGAGTTAATCTGCTAATCCAACCCTGTTTTCTTTTTTAGTGAGAATCAACGCATTCCATGCGCTTCGGCGTACAGACCAATGCTTTACATTTTTATGAGACAAAAAGTGAGGGAAAGTGCTATTTACATTCAATTGAGGTTTTCATATCATTTTATTTTCATTTTCTTTATTTTGTGTGCGTTATGCTGCGAGAGTAGACCGCAGATCAGTTTTATCGTTTACATTTAAACAATAAAATATTCAAATGAAAAAAAAACATTGGGTTTGATGCTTCTTGGTCTAAATAACACTGAATGTTGTCAAATTTCACTGTATTTAGGTGAGTTTTAATGCTTTGTAATTTGATATTGTTCACAGAAAACGTTTGCATGGCTGCTGCACATTTTCATGCCAGGGAAAAAGTGTGTGTAAATTTACGCAAACTTTGACGCAAAGTTCATTTTCATACATGCTGGCATAAAATATGGCGATGCACATTTTTTGTGCGTATGCACGCTTTATACAGGATACCGCTGGTGATGTCATAATGTAGAGCTGTGTATCATCTGCGTAGTTATGGTAGCTAATAGTCTGAGACTCTTCTCCTTTCTTCTTCTTTGCTAATGTTAAGAATTAAAAAGAGGAATAACTTGATTTAGCTCGTTAATTAATTCTTTGTCCCGAATTCTTGTGTCTGTGTAAGTGTGCAGAGAGAAAAGAGCAATCATACAACGTCAGATTTCAGATATCCATAACTTTATCCAAAAGTGAATACAAATACATACAGAATAACAGAACACCATTTACACCCAGATTATCAAGAAGCCAACACACCCAATGACAAAAACAGAATATTACCTGATTCAAAAATGCATTTTTGGGAACCACTCACTCAGCACCAAGCGATTCGAACTTCTGCTGTGAAACAAATCATTTATAGAATGCGTATTCTCCTCATTTAAATATATGCATTAGGAGGTGTGTTCTTTTCCTTTGTGTGGGCTGTCTTAATGTTAATTTTACCACCTCCTGCTGAAGAGCCCCAAAGGCAGATATATGGCCCGGCTCTTCTCGTACCTGCCGCTGTCCAGTTTGATATACGAGTGCAGCTGCAGCGCTATCTCTGCCTCAAAATGTTTCCACAAGAAAGTAGTTTGTATTTTTAACCAAGCTTGCACACAATGGAATGCTAAATAATGACTATAATAAGTAACTATTTAAAAACATGCTTAAAGAAATATAGTTAATTCTAATATAGATAAAATTATTTATAAAAAGTTTTAAGATCCTAGTGAACTTTTGAACCATGCTCAGAAATTTGTTAATTGCCTGGCAGACAGGCTCCCTATCTAAAGAGATCCAAGGAGTCTAGGCCTGTGTTTTCTGTTTTTTTTTTCTGTCTGATCCTCCTTTTAAGAATTTATCTGTGTTTCAGAGATTGAGCCGTTGTTTTTGGTTTCATCTAAATTTATATGAACCTAGAGTGTACTTTAACTTTCTATGTTATATTTCATATGTGTCAAAACTATCCTGTGCAGTATTGTGCTAACTTAAAATTCTATTTCAACACTAACCAACAGTTGCCCAATTTCCACCAGTACGTTCTTGGTCACCAGCACCTATGGCGGTTGTTAATGTGGGCCTATATGCTGGAGATCAAGTTCTTGACTCTCGTGTTTGATTTGGCAAATGTTTTTCAATGGATGCCCTTCCTGATACAACCCTCTGCATTTATCTGGACATAGGACTGGAACATAAAACACACAGAATGCCTCTTCTGGCTGCATCGGATATATTTTTTTATGTGTATTCTTCTGAATAAAGTTAGTAGAACTTAAATCAAAAATAAATGTTAAAAACTTAAAAGAAAATTAAGTAGGAACTGTAAATGCCAAAAATCCAAATATATTTTGAAAGTATTTTTAGTATTAATATTAATTCAGTTGTCATACTCACAACATCATAGATATAAACTGTGTGTGAATTGGCCAGTGCAATGTTGAGGCATGAAAAAGCTTTTCTAAAACTCCTTGTCTGAATAAAGTCATTACTGCCCTATGGAGGTGGCCATTATTCTTGGACTACAGGTGATCACAACTTAAAATATTGATGAGTTACTGTCTGGATATTCAGTAATCTGATTAAACTGTGTCATGACTGTACAATTAATTTAATTTCTTCTGGATTTATTGGTATGTTTGCTCTGTTGCAGGTTGTAGAAAAGTGCCTTGCTGATGGTGCAGATGAATACCTGCAGATGCTGAGTTTGTGTTCAGTGATAATGCAGCAGGCTGGTCAGAGCTGAAACTCTGCTGAGCAACTTCTCCATACAGAAGGAAATGTGTCACCTTGTTCCAAGGACCAACAGCTGAAGTTCCCTAGTTCTGAGTCAGTATTTTTCACATATTGGCCCAGATTTACCAAGCTGGTGGTAAATGTTAACTGTTTCTCTCTTCTTAAGGATGTTCAGTTTATACACTGCTTCCCAAAATATTGCCACATTTTTGGAATTTAATAAATCATGTTTTTTTTGTATGTCATGTCCTCACTTTCTTTACATTTTCTAATTTTCTGAGATTAATTTTCCGCTAATGTAAAGGAGTATCCCACAGTTTTGAATAGGGATTTAATCATCCTTAGTTTAAACTAAGCTTAAGTCTAGAAGTGTAGGCTGAAATGAAATAAAATAATAATAATAAAAATTAAAAAAAAACACAAAAAAAAATCTATTTGCTTTTGGGGGGTTTTACAGTGGGATCACCTCAGACTGAGATACTTGTTACAGACTAGAAAAACATACTGAATCATTCACCACTGATCAGTTTCTTTCAGAAATTGTTTGAAAAACTTTGTCAAACAGAAACAGGGATTCTCATCAGGTAATTGCTCTCTTGGGCATTACGTGACTTTTTTTAACAAAACCATTGTTACACTTTAGATTAGTTTGGCAATTTAAAATGAAGCTTAATAAAAATTTCAAAATAAAAGTCTTCACATTTTTAACGTTATACTCTGTGTCGTGATCCCTACTGGCCATAACTTGTTTTTTTCTGACCTCTAATTGTTCAGTTAATTTTTGTGAGGATGGTGGAGAAAATACCAGAGAATTTGAACGTTTTCTCAGGTCATACCTGGGTTCTCGGCAGGCACAAAGCATCTGTAAACTATTTACAGCACTTCACATTTTCTATATTTTGTTATGCTGCATCCTTACTCCGGATTGAAATTGTCCAATCCCATGTCGACCCCACCGAGTCTACGGGAATAGCTGTAGACTTCCAGTTAGTGCAATTTATTTTACCACCACTAGAGGCAGACAAAGTCCTTCAGATCGGCTTTTGGAGGTTTCGTGACTCTTTCCAGCTATTATTGCCAGTGCCACAAACATAATAGGCGTTGGTTTCTGCCAAAGATGTTTGTGCAGTATCTCCACTCCAGTTTGCTTTCTCATAAAGGAAGATTTTTGAAAATGTATGTCTATTTGAAAATCATCTTCGGGTTTAATATTCACAGGCTCAGCAGATGGAAATAATATTAGACCAAAGATTGTCCTTAAACAAGATGTCCCACTTTCACATGAAATATAGATGTAGATGTAAAACTAAAGCTCATGGTTAAGTAAATGTAAATGAGTCAACTAGTAACTAGTACTAATTAGTATAGTTACTGGTTGACTCATTGTAAATTGTAGGTAATCACTTACCTGAAAAGACACCAGGTGGCTGTTTACTTTAACCAGCAAGAGCAGGTTGGTCATGATGAGGGGCAGAGAGTTGAGGGAATTTCATCTGAGCTACAGTACGTGGGGATGCCTATGATGGCTATGATGCCTATGATGTCTATGATGGCTGTGATGCCTATGATGCTTATGATGCCTATGATGCCTTTATGGCTATGATGCCTATGATGCTTATGATGCCTATGATGCCTTTATGGCTATGATGCCTATGATGCTTATGATGCCTATGATGCCTTTATGGCTATGATGCCTATGATGTCTATGTTGCCTATGATGTCTATGATGCCTATGATGGCTATGATGCCTATGGTGCCTATGTTATGATGTCTATGATGGCTATGATGCCTATGATGCTTATGATGCCTATGTTATGATGTCTATAATGGCTATGATGCCTATGATGTCTATGATGGATATGATGCCTATGACGGCTATCATAGAAATCAGTTGGAACCTCTCTGTGGGTAGTACTTGCATCATAGTGTGAAAATATCTAAATTTATATTGGTGTCAGAATCAACCAAAAAAGTTTTCCAATCATGGTTTTAAATTTATCTTTTAATAACTAGTTGGAAATAATCCAGTAGATTACTCATTCTAATGAACTCATTTCACATTTGTTTTGGCAATATAGGTAGTAAACACAGTTTTTACAATATGGTCAGGGATAAGGTGGGCAGAAGAAAAGAACAATTGTGAATAGTTTCACTTTTCAACTTTAAAATTAGTTAATTGTAATTAAACAATTGAAAATTGTGAAACCATTAACGACTAATTCTTAGTTTCTAATGAATCCTCAATAGATCCTTCATTTGCACCTTTGGTTTTTAGCTGAACAGAAATATATGACTCCCTATAACATACATATGTTTTGGAAGAGCTGCCCTTAGCTCTGCACCACCCTAACCATTTCTCATGCTGTGTAACTTGTTTAGAAATTCAAAGCATTCTAGGCTCCACTGATTCCAGGCTTATCAGTCAGTGTCAGACAGTGTGCACTTTAATAAATAGATTACAGCCAGCGCACAGCAGCTCTGTGGTTGCACAACTTATGTAAACATCTCATTATCTTACACACAAGGAAGCATCAACCATATTCCATAAATTACTGTGTGTTTGTATGCCGTACAGTATTATGGCATACAACCAATATTTCAAATGAATAAAGACCAAACAGATGCGAGTTCTCTTGGTTTCCTTTGTTTCTCTCAGCCATATTTTTGTCACATGATCAAACACATTCTGTTACTGAAAGACTGTGAATCCCAATTTACATCCTGGGTTCTTGACATATAAAAAGGGGAGCAAAACATCTAGTCAGATAGAAAGCAACTGACATTTTTCTGTTTGATGCCAACAAAAACACACCTTGCTTACACATAAAGCATCACATGAAAAATTCAATCAGTTTTGTACGGTGTTTCTTGTTCTGTCAGCAACTACAAACTGTGTGTAGTGTTTGAAATAGAACGTAAATCTGGGCCATCAGATCAGGGTGAAATATGAACTAGTTAGTGAATATTGTTAATGATTCAGGTTCTTTTTAACTATCTCATTTAGATTCACAGTGAATGTGATTTTTGATGGGATTTAATTTAATTGATTGTATTGATTAATACACATTTACACCAAAACATATTCATCTCTGGAAATCAAGCACCTGGAAATTACACCAATAGAAATTACAGATCAGCACACAGCTCTGGAAAAAATTAAGAGACCACTTAAAATGACCAGCTTCTATTATTTTACATTCTATAGGCACATGTTTGTGTAAAATTAACATAATTACTTCATTCTATGAACTATTGACATAATGACAAAATGACTCTGAAATTCCAAGCAAAAATTTAGCATTTATTTGCAGAAAGTGAAAAATTGTCAAAATAATGAAAAAGATGCAGTGCTTTCAGTCCTCAAATAATGCAAAGAAAACAAGTTTATATCATATAGAAACAACAATACTAATGTTTTAACTCGGTAAGTGTTCAGAAATCAATAATTGGTGGAATAACCAGAAGGTTTTCAATGGGATTTAATGTGGTGGTCTCATCATTGTTTTCACAGGTGTATATGTGTACTAACTATGGAACATTATGTTGGTGACACCACAGAGAAAGGAAAATATATGTTTGTTATTTTAATATTTAGAGTAAAAACAGTCAATACTATTACATGTAATTACACTTAGCTGTAATTGTTGTTACTTCTGATAACAAATAACTTCTCTGTTAAATGAATGAAGCACTTTACAGTCATTTGGTTAAATTTGCACATGCTTCAAAACAGACAGTTTTTTTTATTGACTAACTTCTCAAAGGAGCCCTGAGAAACAACTGTAATTAACACAATTACTTGTAATTACAAGTAATTATTACATTATTTCTTGTAATTACTTTCTATACAACAACTTGTATAATTACAAAACTTAAAATCTGTCTTTTCTGAGGAATCTCAGTAAAAGTTTTCAGTATCTGAAAATAATGTTAAGCATCTATATATATATATATATATATATATATATATATATATATATATATATATATATATATATATATATATATATATATATATATATATATATATATATATATATATATATATATATATATATATATATATATATATATATATATATATATATATATATATATAGCCAAATTATCAACAAGACTGGCTACGGATACAGACTCAAAAATGGGGCCAATATCAGTCACCTACTCTACATGGATGACATCAAGCTGTATGCCACCACCAGGATGTACAGCACGGACATTGGGATGTCATTCGGACGAGAGAAATGTGGTCGGCTAGTCACAAAGAGGGGGAAGGTCATCCACACAGAAGGGGTCTCACTCCCAGAAGGAACAATAGCAGACATAGAGGACAGTTACAAGTACCTAGGTATACCATAAGCAAATGGCAATCTCAATGAGGTCACAAGAAAGGGAGCCACAGCTAAATACCTCCAACGAATAAGGCAAGTCCTGAGAAGCCAGCTCAATGGCAAGAACAAAATCCGTGCGATAAAGAGCTATGCCTTGCCAGTAATCAGATACCCTGCTGGAATAATTAGCTGGCCAAATGAGGAGATAAAAGCCACAGATATTAAGATCAGAAAACTACTAACAATGCATGGAGGGTTCCATCCCAAATCCAGCACCCTGAGACTGTACACGAGCCGCAAGGAAGGAGGCAGAGGACTAGTGAGTGTGAGAACCACTGTCCAGGACGAAACAACTAAGATCCATCAGGGACAAAGCCTCAACAGACAATGTGCTCAGTGAATGTCTCAGACAACAGGGAACGGAGGTTAAGGTGCCAGAGATACCATCATGGGAGGACAAGACCCTATATCGGATGTACCACCAGCAAATAACCGAAGTGGCTGATATTAGTAAATCCTACCAATGGCTGGAAAAAGCTGGACTCAAGGACAACACAGAGGCCCTCATCCTGGCCACCCAGGAACAGGCCCTAAACACCAGAGCAATAGAGGCCCAGATCTACCACACCAGACAAGACCCAAGGTGTAGGTTGTGCAAGGAGGCCCCTGAGACAGTCCAGCACATAACAGCAGGGTGCAAGATACTGGCAGGGAAAGCGTACATGGAATGACATAACCAAGTGGTAGGCATAGTGTACAGAAACATCTGTGCAGAATATGGACTGGAAACCCTGAGATCAAAGTGGGAAACACCCCCAAAGGTGGTGGAGAATGCTAGAGCTAAGATCCTGTGGGACTTCCAGATCCAGACAGACAAAATGGTAAGGGCGAACCAACCAGACATTGTCGTAGTGGATAAACAACAGAGGAAAGCCATTGTGGTAGATGTAGCAATACCAAGTGATTGCAACATCAGAAAAAAGGAGCACGACAAACTGGAGAAATACCAGGGCCTCAGAAAGGAACTGGAGAGGGCCTGGAAGGTGAAGACCACAGTGGTGCCTGTGGTCATCGGGGCCCTCAGGGCAGTAACCCCCAAATTGGAGCAGTGGCTACAACAGATCCCAGGAACAACAACAGACATCTCAGTCCAGAAATGTGCAGTCCTTGGCACAGCCAAGATACTGCGCAGAACCCTCAAGCTCCCAGGCCTCTGGTAGAGGACCCGAGCTTAGAGGATAAGAACCACCCGCGATATATATATATACACACTGAATGCCTCTGATTTGGCTCCTCTCCTGAACTTTTTCTGCTTCCATCTTCTCTGTGGGATGTTCACTGTGGGAATGTTTCCACTAACCCCATTCTGAGAAGACAGCAGCGACTGATTCATCTAAAACAGGTTGTGCCTTTTGTGCAAGAGCTGCCATAATTTTAATTCAAATAAGAACCTGTCGTTAGTTCATACAGAGCATTGGGAGAAACAGAAGCTGACAAAATGTTATGAGATGTCAGGTCAGCACTAAAACAACCATGTAAACTCATAAAAAATGCAAATGTTTTCTTAGTAATGATCAGGAATATATTATCAAATGATCTTCTAGTCAGTTCAATTTCAGTTCATTTTTTTTACATGGCACCAATTCACTACAAATGTCGTCTCAAGGCACTTTACAAAAAAAAATCAATTCAATTCAATCACACTTCCAGTTGATCCAATACAGTAAGCTCAATTAATTATTCAAAGTAGATTAAAAAGTTTCTGTCTGAGGAAACCCAGACTTGCAGCATTCACTCCTCCTGGATGAGGGTGTAGCACTTTCGCTGTGTCCTTGTTTTTACAGCAAACCCTCATGCATGAAGCGACAGTGGAGAGAAAAAACTCCTCTTTAACAGGAAGAGACTTCCAGCAGAACCAGAACCTGGCGCAGTGTGATCGATGGAGGCTTGAGAAGACAGAGCAGAATGCACAAGAAGAAACAGAAGAGCTGATGTATGCATGTTTGATGTTCATGAAAGTAAAAAAGTTAATAACAGGAGAGGGAGAACAATTAGTTGATGGCAGCATTATCTCTACTGATTTTCTACTCAGGAAAGAACCATAGCTTCTAAGGAGACATAGTGAGATAAGTGAGAGAAAACAAAGACAGCTGAAATAACAACAAATAATGCAAATTGGAGAGTAGAAGAAGAAAGTGAGTGTCCTCCAGTCACCTAAGCCTCAAGCGCCATAACTACAGAAATAACTCAGGCCAACCTAAGTCAATCTAACTATCAGCTTTATGAAAAAATAAACTTCATAAGCCTACTCTTAAAAGTTGGCAGGATTT